CAAACTGACCTCAAATTATTCTGCCCTCTCAAACGTGGAGATGTATACATAGAACAGACTCATAGGTGTTAAGGTCAGAAGAGAACCATCATGATCGTCTAGTCAAACCTCCTACACATTGCAGGCCGCAGAACTGCCATTAGTCTTAATTGCAAGATCTACTCAGGACAAGCATTTGTGATTCGTCACAGTGAAGTAGAGACGACAAAAATTCTCAGTGCTCTTTAGTCATGGAGACACCAGGTAAAACAAATGTAGTTTAACAAATGTAATTTCAAGAGCTGTGCTCACATTAGCAAGGCACAAGTTTCATTCCTTTTACACCAGAGCAGTAGACACAAACATGTTGTAGAACAGAGGTGGGCAAACTGTGGCCCGCAGGACCATCCTGCACGGCCCCCGAGCTCCTGGCCTGGGAGGCTAGCCCCTGGCCCCTCCCTGCTGTCCCTCCTCCCCCGCAGCCTCAGCTCACTCGCTCCGCTGCGGCCAGCGCAATGCTCTGGATGGCGGGGCTGTGAGCTCCTGGTGCAGCGCAGCTGCAGAGCCCGGCCTGACCTGGTGCTCTGTGCTGCGTAGTGGTGGTGGTGGCGGCAGCGGCATGGTCCAGCTTCAGCCAGGCGGCACGGCTGTAGCGCCACTAGCCTCCGGTGCTCCAGGCAGCGCGGTAAGGGGGCAGGGAGCGGGGGGGGGGTTGGATAGAGGACGGGGAGTTTGGGGTGGTGGTCGGGGCAGGGGTGTGGATGGTGGTCGGGGGGGAAACAGGTTGAATGGGGGCGGGATCCCAGGGGGGCAGTCAGGAAGAAGGGGGGGTTGGATGGGGTGGCAGGGGGCAGTCAGGGGACAGGGAGCGGGAGTGTGTGGATTGGGCAGGGGTCCCAGGGGGGCTGTCAGGAATGAGAGGAGGGGTTGGATGGGGCAGCGGGGGTCTGGGGGCAGTCAGGGGACAGGGAGCGGGGGTGTGTGGATGGGGCAGGGGTCCCAGACGGGCCGTCAGGGAACAGAGGGGGTTGGATGGGGCAGGAGTTGGGGGGGGCAGATAGGAGGTGGGGGCCAGGCCACGACCCCCTCCCTTAACTGGCCCTCCATACAATGTACGAAACCCAATGTGGCCCTCAGGCCAAAAAGTTTGCCCGCCCCTGTTGTAGGACCTGAGTGTAACTCCAACTGGTCGACTCTCTATTCTGATCCCCCTGAAGTTACTGTTTGCCAAAAGAGTGGCACTTGAAATCTATCTAAGCTATTGGTGTATAAAAGCAGAACGGGAGAATCAGACCTGAAATAAGATGTTACCAACCTTCTTACCCCACATCCTCTTCACATGCACAGGAACTTTGTATTCCCGAAACACAAGGCAAAAAAGGGGAACAGGATCAAAAATTCAGTATGGCAATTCCTACAATTAGGCATAATCCTAAAGAACTGCACATCTGTATCTGCTCCATATTATATAAATTACACACAGCCTTCTAGCTCCAGGTAAATTGCCCATATGGCCCTCAGCTGGACAAAGTCTGGGTAACCCTTGATTTACATAATCTCTATATTGACAGTTTGTCCCAATTTGTATTTCAGCTTGGATTTCTAAAAATAACCTTGGAGTCTGCTAGAAGCATATCTGTAACCTGGGTTGAGTTAGAATTTTAGCTTTAAATGAACTAAACCACTCCAAAATATTAGAACAATTTGGAGAAGTGAAAAATGTTCATTACATAGGAAGAAAAAGACTTCAGCTGGGGAAAGGACTGTGAGACAAAAGAAATCAATGGTCCCACTTTGATGCTAATGTACAGCAAAGCAGCGCTACCCACTTGCCATTACCCTACAATTTAACTTAGCTCATTTCCTAACAGTAGGGAGATTTTTTCCTTCTTGAGGTTATTTAATTATAATCCACACTGCAAATTTCAAATAGTTAGCCAAAATTAAAAGTGGATGTTTTCCTTTAACAGGCAAACATTGAGAGCAAAGTTACTGACTAAACTGCCTAAACAACCAAGGAGTGAGATCCCAGAATTAAATTATGCCTACTGAAACATCAATGAAATCTCTGGCTTGAAAAAGGCTGACATTTGGTTAGGAGATTACCATTTCATTGAAATGCAAGAACATTTTTAATGGAACTAAAGCCATGTTTTTCTTGTCATCTTTATTCAAGTATTTCACAGCAGTTATATTACAAATTACAGTAAAATGTTCAAAATTTCCAGAAGTTCAAAAATTAAATAACTTACTTCAAACTAATGTAAAATGAAGTTAAAATGCAAAACATCAATTTTAACACAATTCTGAATAAAACTATAGAATCCAAAATATATCATAGTTGATGAAAGAAGTCTACTTAATCCACAAAATAGACATACATTAACCAAACAATAGGACTCCCCGATGTCTAAATAACCCAATGTACAAGATACACAAGATGCAGGTACAAGCCCGAATTCAAGCTTATGTTGTGATTACAAACAATAAAATAAAATGACTATCAGCTGCAGGACCTGACATTCAATATATTGAATGTAAAAGCCAGAGCTGACCCACCAACTTAATCAAAAAATGGGAAGACAAGATAATACAAAAAAACCAGTAATCCTATAAATACATTGGCATATGAGAAAAATCAACAATACAAAAGGAGACAAAAAACAAACAAAAATTAATCACAGGTGAGATTCAAGCTTGCAAATACTATTAACTCCACAGCCACCAACTTCACCCTAGAACAGTTCCACTACCTCCAATACAGTCCCAATGGCCCACAAAGTTTACCTCCACCTGGCTCTGCCACATTTTACTGATCCAAGAACAAGGCCTTGCACAGGAGTTTATTTGCAATTTTCACATCAGAAAACAAGGAATAGAGGTCGATTTGTACAAATTCTTGCCAGTGCTATATGGCAAAACAAAAATGAAAGATGTACAAACAGTAAACAAGTTTAGACCACATGGATAGATTAACAGCTGCTTTAACTCTATACCCACCAGGCATCTGTAAAGGAAAAAAAAACTGATGTAGTAATGTGATTATTTGGGCCAGAAAGGCAGGTATAATTTTACCCAAGAAAAACATTTAGATTGGCTAATTCTTTTCAAAAGACCTAAAATATTGAAGTTGCAGCTCCTCAGTTAGTAAAGTTGCACCTTTCAGTTTCCATATCAACTTTTAATGACTATTAAAAGTTATTTTAAAAAGAACTGACCTGTTGGAAGCATTTTAATGCTAGGCGCGAGCTTTAATGCTATGCGTGAGCTTATATTTGCTTGTCAAACTCACTGATGACTAAAAACTCAATTGTTTAATTCATACAAATTTAGCAACATGTTAAAAATGTATGCAGTTTTACCTTTCACAAGTCCTGCTACTACCTGAACAAATACTTCTCTGAATAAGTGAAACTGGAATAAATATTTGTTTTAAAAAAAAAATCTGCAGCAAGAACCTGAGACTTGCAAAAATCCCTTTTACCAGAAACTTGCTACAAAAAATCTGCTACATTTTATTTAATCAAATCTTAAAGTTTGTAACAATTTCCATCAAAATACAAAATTGTTATTAATGTACCAGACAGCAAAATATCTGAAACAGGAATGATGGTAATAAATACTAAAGGAAACATGAAAAAAGTCCCCATAATCAAATTTGAGAGAGCAAAGAACACCTTGTTTGAAATATGGGGTTTTTGTTGAGTTGTTTGTTTTTTGTTGTTTTTTAATCGCACTTTCTCACCAAAATATACAGTGTTTCTACATGGGTTGCATTTAGAATAGTATGATTAGATGCATACTAAGCCTTCAAACTTTTTTCTCTTAGATATTAAGAAAACAAGTGGCATTTTGGGGGAGAAAAAGGTCAAACTAGAATTAGAAGGCTTAAACATAAAATACAAAGAAGCACTTTGGATTACTGCAGTAGCCCAAGTTTGTTTTTCTGCAGTGGCATACTACTACTAGCCAAAGACATGGAGACAAGTACCTTAGCTTCAGCATGTAAACGGTAGCAGAGTGTTACAGTTCTCCGTAAACACTGTTGGTAACTAAAATAGAAAAAGCTGAGGTAGCTCAGTATCTCTGCAGTAGTCCAAGACTGTTTTCTCTAATTAAAAACAAAACACGCGTTGCATATTTTGGAAAGACGCTCCTGCAGCTACATATAACAGTTATAATGAACGGTAACATATGGTAACACCAGCCAACCTGTCTACAACATTTTCTACTTATTTGTCTGAAACAAATCAGCCCAGGTAATGTTTTAACACTGAGCCTGTGATAAGACTTTTACTGCAACGTCCTTGCCTCTTGCAACTGCCTAGATTGTGTGTCTCCAATTTCCAGAAAGGAAAGTTTTGAACTACCGATACACTCACTATTCAGCTATAGAGAACTGCAATCCACACAGCCCAGTTCAGAGGTCCACAAATGGCCAATGATCATATAAAGTATCTTCCCCGCCCACCCCCCCGCACGTTAATACTGCTATACATGGCCCAAGGTGTGGGAGCCTGGATTAAATTGTACTTACAGTGAGCTAGGAGTCCAGGACTTTTGGCTAACTGTCTCTCCTTTCTATGTCTATTCAGCAAGTCTTAGCTTTAATAAAAACAAAACTTTAGAAAGAAACCTGCCAGAATTAAACATCTTTTGTTTCTAAGAACTCAAAATGGACAACAAATAAATAGAATTGTGGGAAAAAAGAATAGCCCCCATAATGAATATTATCTTCACTTCGTTTTCAGCAACATACGAGAGTTTCACTGTGTAGTTTATTTCTATAACAAATATACCAATGGAACAAAAGAATGTCACTGTTTTGGTAAAGTTGTGTTGCTTTTTTCAGTGTGTCTTAGTTTAGTTCTGTAGAGTAAGACAGGCATTTTAGAATCATAATACTGGTTGCCATTCAATGATGAGGAAATGCAAATCATCCTTTTGGAGCTCTTCATTCTGAAGACAACTTTCTAACTCTGCCATTTGCTACAAGCCCAACCATTTGAATAGCCTTATCTTTCTCAATTGACTAAAAAGGCACATTAAAGGCAGTTCTAGAGAGCCTCATTTTCAAATTACTGTACATCCAGTTACTAAAGTTTCCTACCACAATGCATCACTGCCATCTTTGAAACAGGTTTCTGTCCATTACCCCAGAGAACAAGAAAAAAAAAAAAAACTGAAAAGGAAAATTTAAAAAGTTGTCCATTTAAAAAAATTCAACCTAGTTAGATCTGCTCTATCCAGGTTCTGTGTTTGTTGGTCTGCTCCACTGTGTCTGAAGTTTCCCAAAAGATAATGCATGTAGAGAGAACAGGAGCAGAAATGAGAGCAGTTTCTGTAGCACCAAAAATCTCCAAGTTGTGGTGTTGTATTCTTTATTTATATCAGATACAACTGTCTGAAGTTCTGTTTGGTTCTTGTAGGCTGGTTGGTTTCAGGTACCTGAGACAATAGCACCAAATTTAACAGAAAGAAAGAGAGCGAGCACTTAAGACCAAGGCTCTGCACATACTTGGTGCAATTGGAAATCGAATGGCTCAGAAGACTGCTCTCCCATGAGCAGTTTAAGAGGATAAACCCATCCATCTCAAAGACATCACAGGAATGTTTCAAACATATGAACTGTTCTTTCCATTTCCTGCAAGAGACACCAAGCATTAATTATATATAAATATACAGCAACAGAAATAAAGTTAGTGTTATATAATCAGATCTACTATGATTTTCTTTTAAACCTGAACAAATAATTTATAAGAAAATAGACAATTCTGTTAACCATTTCTGCTAGTAGATGGAAAACAATAAATGGGAGACTGTTTTCTGCATTAATGCTTCTTTAATTAGTTTTCCTAGTTGATGGTTAATGGGAAGACGCAGGTATATTAAGATCAAACTTCAGTTGATGCACCTTCCATGTATTACTAAATGAGGAAGGCTGAGGTGTGGACCAGAGCTGCTGCCAAGCAATACTTCTGTTTGTTGATTTAAGGCCAATCATTTATCTGAAACATGGCCACTGAAAAGTAGTAGTCTTTTTCCACATCATACAAAAATGTAAGGTTTCATAATAACCATCTACTTCCAGTGGTTAGAAATGAATCTAGTATTTTTTAAAACCTAATCTTATAAATGGACTATAGCAGGGATCGGCAACCTTTGGGACGCGGCCTGTCAGGAAAATCCACTGGCGGGCCAGGACAGTTTGTTTACCTGCAGCGTCCGCGGGTTCGGCCGATCGCAGCTCCCAGTGGCTGTGGTTCGTCGTTCCAGGCCAATGGGGGCTGCGGGAAGTGGCGTAGGCCGAGGGATGTGCTGGCTGCGGCTTCCCGCAACCCCCATTGGCCTAGAACGGCGAACCGCGGCCAGTGGGAACTGTGATTGGCCAAACCCGCAGACACTGCAAGTAAACAAACCGTCCCGGCCCACCAGCTGATTTCCCTGACGGGCCGCGTGCCAAAAGTTGCCAATTCCTGGACTATAGCAAAAGACAGGTTCTTCAGTCTGAAAAGCCTTTTTAAAGGAAGATATTTAAGCCCTAATTGCACTTTACATTATTAAAACACTATGCTTACTCAAAAGTCCCAAAGTACTTTACAAACTCTTCAGATATAGGGCTTCTGAAATGCAAACATTTCTAAGGTGAAGGATGACAGTGACAGAAACAACAGGCTCACAGCCAGTTTTTGTTTTTGAAGATTTTCTGTTGCAAGATTGCCAACACTTCAATCTCTCTGGTCACTCAGTAACAGACTTAAAGGTGGCAATCTTGCAACAGAAAAGCTTCAAAAACAGACTCCAACGAGAAACTGCTGAGCTTGAATTAATATGCAAACTAGATACCATCAATTTAGGCTTGAATAGAGACTGGAAATAGATGAGCCATTACACACATTGAATCTATTTCCCCATGTTAAGTATCCTCACACCTTCTTGTCATTATCACTACAAAAGTTTTTTTCTTCTGCTGATAATTGCTCATCTTTATTAATTAGCCTCTTAGAGTTGGTAGGGCAACTCTCACCTTTTCATGTTCTCTGTATGTGTATATCTCTCTCCTTACTATATGTTCCATTCTATGCATCCGATGAAGTGGGCTGTAGCCCACGAAAGCTTATGCTCAAATAAATATGTTAGTCTCTAAGGTGCCACAAGTATTCCGCCTCTAGAGAATGAGTTGATACTATTCTCCAGTCTTATATCTGAATTTTATGGATTTTGTCATTTGCGTCCTCTTTATGTTCTTTAAGATCGCATTTAATGAGACAGAAACAGAGACACCCCAGCATGGGTTTGATTGTTTGCAAGGGAAGGATAGGGGGATTGGGTCATATCAGAAACTAATGGTCACTGTGTTCCTTAAGCCATTATTGCTTAAGTTTCTTTTTATCCATATAAGTTTCTTTTTATCCTTAGTAGTTAATACAGTTTTCACAAGAGGATTTCAAATGTGCACCAGTTAATACAGAAATATTGCTACCCAAAGTCTATTGCAAAATTCAGATGAGAAACAAGAGAAATTGTAAAACTTTACCTCTACAAGTTGTGATTTGTCATAATCTTTACGATGCCGATAGATGCACTGACTAAGGAGTGAGTACAGCCTCTCAAGTTGGTCAACAGTCAGGTTGTTACTTCTCTTAACCAACAAATCCAGTAGTTTCTGTTAAGAGGAAAAACATAACACAAATAAAGAATCAAGTTTTTCATATATTCATTCTTGAAATCTGTTTGAGACTAATTATTACATTTAATTGTTTGTGGACAAAGCAGAAATGTGCTAGAAGGATATTTTATATTCCGAACAAGAACATGGTTCAGTATGTAAATAATATAACTGCTGTCAACAGTCTTAAGAGCAGATAACTCTTAACAGAGATCTTCTTTACATTTGTTTGTTTCAGTATGCAGAGATTCTCTAATTACTATACTTATGGAAAACATATTCACACTTGGGAGAAGCTCTCTGTAAACATTCAAAGCCCTTCTTAAAAAACTCTCCTTTGTTGTGATGCCTACAAAAAAACAAACTAACTTGATGGGGGGCGGGAAGAGAGCAGATATTAACTCCACTTCACCAATCAACACAACTACATCATCAACCCCTATTACTGCATAATCGTGTCTGCACAAACTGCACTGGAAACACTGGACTGGACTTTTATACCATAATTATTAAAAAGCTTTTATATGTATATTTATTACTGTATCTTCAGATACAGCAGTAAGATACAAATGAGTAGTTAACAATTTTGTTATGTGGTCACTAATTAAATAAAAATTGCTGGATAAAGAAAAATCTTCAAACGATAATGCTGACAGAAAAGATTATACTTTCTGCAGTATAAAATAAGGGAAGTTGGGTCTTCACAATTTTCTGTACACAGTATAAAAATATCTTCCATGGTGTTTGAAAAGGGTTGGTAGTGGTAATTATTAAATTTAGTTCTCAGTCCCATTACCTTTAATCTGTCATGGTCAACAATTAGAGGGGGCATGAGATCCAGTGGCTCCTCCGGAACCTGCTCCAGACTTGCAGGTTTTGGGGGCTCCAAAGTGACTTTTCGAGATTTCTTAAATTTCGATACACCTGCAATTTGGATGCAAAATTATAGCACATCAGGAACAACTGATAAAAAATTAAAGTAAAGTAAAATATTTATTAAATGTAAAACATTTCCAATAGTCTTTCAACTATAATGTCCCAGTCAAACTCCCACTAAAAATAGCTAATGGCATTTATATAGTCCATACCACCATATTATCGAGGCATTGAAATTAAGATTTGACCTTGTGTTACTACTGACAGCTGTGAATAGGACAGAATCATTTGTACACAACGTCCTGGTTTTGGAAACCTGGCTGAAAATATAAGAAGATAATTTGAATTTACTATTAAAGCAGCTACCGCCCATCAAAGTCAACAGCAGATCATCTAATCTGACCTGCTGCATAACACAGGCCACTAATTTCTGCAACCAGCTCATAACTTCTGGTTGAAATACTGCATACTGAAGGACAATCTTTATTGAAAAACATCAACTGCTGGAGAATCCACCACTTTCCACAACAAGATGTTCCAATGTTTAATTACCCTCACTATTAAAAGAGTACATCTTATTTAAAGTCTGAATTTGATTTATTAAAAATGTTTTAAATCAGGCTTTTGAAGAACGCACACTATGGAAATTGTTGACTCGTACTTTTTTACTCTTACTGTCACCAGACATTTCAACATTGTGTGACAGGATTCAACAGGCAAAAAGAATTGCATGGGTCAGAGTCTACTCTGACATACCTTGAATCTATTGTATCACCCAGCAACAGTTTCACTGGTTAGTTTAATTCACAATTCATTTCTCTATAAAGTGGTGTCCCCTACAGATATAGTTGCGCTTGCTTTTCATTTCTACTTGGTTCCATTTTAAAGACGTATGAATTGCACTCATTGCTATGTGGAGGGCACTCTGGTATGGCAGACTTTTTTATGTGAGACAAAGCAATGGATTTCTCAATTTTATTAAATGAAATAGACAAGACAGATTTTTTATTAAAAGGCTTAAAGTAGCAACTGAGCCATACTTTGGCCAGGGTAATTTCAACTGGCGATGCTATTGTGATTTCAGATGTCATTCTATCATCATATTTATCATTGGATTAGATTTCTTATCTGTAGGTCTACTATTGAGACTTTGTTTTACCATCTGAAAAATAATGCCAGGTGCTCAAGACAAGCCACTTATAGCTGCTGATATATGCTTAAGGCACAGGTAGGTTCAATTAGCATAATTCTCTATTATCTGTTATACCTTCACATAAATATGAAGGATGCCACTCGTCCAGAACACAGAAGCACATATCCTAACAAGTATAAGAAAGTCACAATTAGAGCTGGGCAAAATTTTTCAGATGCAACTCTTTCACCAAAAAATTCAGATTCAGGTCAACCGAAAGATTTCACGATGTCATGTTAAATTCACCAACCTGTTTCAGTAGAAAAAAATAATCCAGACAAGTTGAAACATTTTCAAAACTGAATGTTTCAAAATTATGTTTTGTTTCTTATTTTGCTTCAATTGTATTTTTTAAGATACTTGGAAATAAATGTTTTGTTTGAAACAAAACTAGGGTGGGGTTTTTTTCTTTTAGGGTTAGCTGAATTTTTTTTTTTTTTTTTTTTTTTTTTTTTTTTTTTTTTTTTAAACACCTCTTTTTTGCTTCACTTCAAACCAAAATAATTTTTCTTCCTCCCAGAGTTTTTGGTCAGGCCACTGAAATGAAAAATTGGATATTTGCACAGCTCTAGTCACATCTCCCTGAGCTTTAAAAGTTCACAGCGATTCCCAGTAAACTTCTACATCAATATTAAAGCTTTTTAAACTTACATTTTAAGTAAGAATTCCAGATTGACCGGCTTTCACCTAATACATCTCTAGTGTTCCCTTACATTCCAATGGTTAGTTTAATTACCCTTCTCTTATCACAACATTCTGAGAGAGAGAGAGCAAGAATTCATAATAATTATGCCCTAATTGTAGAATAAACTTCCTTCTACTATTTCAGATTGCCAACTGGTGCCAGAATTGAAAAGTAGTTTAAAGAAATATGTTTATGGTAGCATTTATTTGTTCTTAATAATTGATGTTTATATTATTTTATTACAAAGCGCTCCAAGACTTTTGCAAGTACTTGTGTTATGGGGATGCTCTCTGCCCCACACCAGAGCAGGGCATGTTTTCTTCAACATACTCTCAGTCAATGCCAGCCCATGAGGAGTGATAAGGAGGAGGCATACACAAGCAGAGGCAGGAATAGCAAACTGTCTCTTGAGCATACTAGTTCACTGGACTATCCTACACCACAATGCAAACCCCTTACTGGTTTCATTTAATGTCTGTGACTCGTGTTTTCCTGACTGCACCTCAAAGCCCTACAATAATCACCCCTGAGGAAGGCTGGACACTGCTCCACCTGGAACATATTGGGACTGAAGGGGGACCATTGGGTATTGACATAAAACATTCTCTTCTCCCTACTGGGCCATGTGTGCTACCTCCCCAGTACTCTCAAGCTTCTAATGGGCTAGGGAACAAGGGACAATTTGGTCCCAAACTTACTCTACCACTATACCAGCTTCCTTTCTCCCCCTTCATTTGTCTCTCTTTCACCATCTAGTGGAGAACTGCACCCATTCTTCTGCACATAGTACTTTCTCAGTGGGGTAACAAGGAACAAGGAAGTGAAACTGACAGCTGTGTTCTGTTCCTTCTGGGTCATTAGAGAAGAAGGAGAGGTTACTCACCTTGTGCAGTAACTACAGCTCCCTGTGGGTGCTCCACTTTAGATGCGCATGCACCCTGAGCCTTTGATCGAAGCTATTTGGTAGCCGTGCGCATTCAGCTTGCACATGTGCCCTATATATCCTTGTGTCCAGGGCTAAATTCAGCCGGAGCTGTCCAGAGCAGAGCTCCGGTAAATATTTTCAACAACCTGAGAGTTTTTATAGCATGTTGCGGAGGGGCAAGGGGGGCTCCGGGAAATAATCTATAAGAATTTAAGCCCTGCTTGTGTCCCATACTGAGGCTATATATGGCCGCATGGGCAAACCACCATCAGTTCCTTCTCTACCACAAAGTCCCACAGAGAAACTCTGAAACGCGGGGGAAGGAGGATGGGTAGTAGAGCACCCGCACGGACTGACATCTCAAAGAACTCCAGTTACAGCACAAGATGAGTAACCTCTCCTTCTTCGAGTAGTGTCTCTGTGAGTACTCCACTTCAGGTGGCTCCACCACAGCAACCCCTTAAGGAAGTGGGAGGTTCAGAACAGAGTCCAGCACTGAAGAGAGGTCTGCATTGCCTACTGCAGCATCTGATCTAGCAGCGTGAACCAAAGCACAATGGTAGGGAAAACTCTGTAGTGAAGCCCATGTTGCAGCTCAGCAGATTTCTGCAAACATCCATGAACAGGCCTACAGATGTGGACTGATCTAGTAGAATGTGCAGTCACTTGTACAGAAGGTTGAGCAACAGCCAAGCCACAACAGGTGATAATATATTCAGAGATCCATTTATAGTGTCTCTGCATGAAGATACTGGATCCCGTAGACCTATCTGCAATAGAGGGAGGGAAAGTCTAGGGGACTTCCTGAATTGTTTGGTTCTGTTCAAGTAAAAGGCTAATGCTCTCTTAACATCTAGTGTATGGAAGGAAGGTGGCTTGCTGCATAGAGAGTTATGAGGCTTAGTAAAGAAAACTGAAAAGTGAATAGTTTGGTTAATGTGAAACTCACAAGAAACCTTAGATAAAAATTTTGGATGGGGTTGTAATGATACTTTCTCCCTGGAGAACACAATAAATGGAGGGCCTGCCATTACAGCCCCACTCTCCCAAACTTTAAAGCAGAAGCATTGCCCACCAAAAAGGCCACTTTCATAGACAAATGTAACAGAGCACACAGCTAGTGGCTCAAAAGCTTGTTTAACAGTTAAGGACAAGGTTGAGATCCCAAAGCAGAGTAAGATCTCTAATCATCAGAAAAAGATTCATAAGATCTTTCATGAGCCTCCTTGTGGCTGGATGTGCGAAAATTGAGAAACCTTCTACTGGCAAACAGAAAGCTGTTATTGATACTAATTGAACCTTGATGGAACTCACATACAGAGACCAATGTCTTCAATTCCAACAGATAATCCAAGAAAAAGATGACTAGACATGCGAAAGATGATGGCAGTTACACCAAAGATGGTATCTGCTTCATTTCTGGAGGTAAATTTATCTTGTAGATTTTCCTGATATTTAACAGCACGAATTATACTCCCGATGAACAGGATGCTTTTAGTTCCAAGAACCACTGAGACACTATGCTTGGAGTTGCAGAACAGTCAGATTTGGGTGAAGTGTTCGATCCACATTGAGACAGTCGAGAATCAAGTAGGAGCTGCCACAGAGGGTCAGAGGTGAGTCTGATGATAAGGTAAGGAAACCAAACTTGTCTTGGCCAAGTTGGTGCATTCAAAATGATCCTGGCATGGTCCTGCTTGATCTTGTTGACAACCTTTAAAGCAATGGCATTGATGGATATGCACTTCTAACTGCCCTCAATTCCAGCAGATTGATTTGCAAGCACTGTTCTTGTTGTGAGCATTTGCCCTAGCCTGAGTGATAACCCAAATGTACTCCCCATCCCAAGAGAGAAGGGTCCAATGTTATGACAGTACAGGGATTCTGGATTAATGGGGTTCCTGCACAAACCCTGGAAGGATCCTTCTACCAGATGAGTGATTGTTGCACCCCGCTTGGTATAGACACCTGTTTGTGTCTGTTGGGCATGTAAAATGTCCTGAGCCACACCTGGAAACATCAAAGATGTAATCTAGGGTTCTGTGTTATAAAAACACAAAGAGACTTGAGGACTGTGCTGCATTCTTTGGATAAGGTTCTTTGGAGCGAGGAACCTATTGGGAGGGAGGATAAGCCATCATCAAATCCAGAAACGCTCCTCTAAAAAGTATTCACAGTGTAGGGGTCAAGGCCGATTTCTCCACATTTATTTGTGGGCCTAAACTGTGGAAAAGTAAAGTTGTTGT